ATGGGAAGAGTACCAGAGCATCTAATGAGATATGTACATAAATAGGTCAGTATTTTATTGAATCACAAAGGAACATCCTTTGTAAAAGATTAAAAAATAAAAAAAAAAAAAAGGAAAACTGGTAGTTTTCTTCTTTAGATTCATGACCAGAATAGTAAAGTGGTGTCAAACATCACAGAACATTTGGATGCATCCATTAATAAGCAACAAGGAGCTTTTCTAGGAGTCAGGTAGGACTAAGCTGCCAGATAATTAGTGAAATAACTCTTTTATTGCCAACAACTATTGCTTCTGGTACCAATCTGAAAATTAAAAAAGCATTAGCTAGTCATTGTTTTCATTTCACTTAAGGAAGTCTGCAAGAGATACAACATTCCTTATTCAATGTACAAATTCTCCAGACTTACTGAATGGGGATAAAAGCAGCATTTCAACTTTTCTAATAATAAAAATTTTCAAGAAAGGAAGTGAAAAAAAGAAGTAACTTTTATTCTCCCCCACTCCTTTCAACTTTTTTCTCTTTTAAAGTCTAATTTTACCTCTTTTCATATTGCTACGGAAAAAGAAAGAAAGGAAAACAAACACAAAGGGAATAGAGCAAAATTTAAACTCTATTCCTGTGCTTGGGAACAAAACAACGCTCTGTGGCATTAAACAACAATTTTCATTCAGTGAGCAACTGAATGTCTTGGTGATCTCTCATGCAGGTATAATACTCTGGAGTAAGGATTGCAATCAAACAGAAGGGGAAAAGAGAAGCAGCTGGAGAGCCTGCAGAGAGCTGCTGACCACCAAAGAGCCTCTGAAGCCTCTCACTGCACTTATCTTTGAGCTCTCAAATCTTTACAACTCTCCTGAGCACACTCCAAATCACAAATGAATTTGTACCTCCCCTTCCTCAGCAGAATGGGAAGCCATTGTAAATCTGACAGCAAATTTAACAATATTGAAATTATTTAATTCATAAATATTATTGAAATTATATAATTAATAAACTTTTAATGCCCACGGTAATGCAGGCAGCAAAAGTGAGGTCAAATGACAACTGCACCAACTTCAAGCCTGGACCCTCAGCAAGTGCCTCAAAGCCCTGGGGTTCCCCTGTAAAGCCTCCAAGTTTCTTGGAGGTTTGACTTCAAGGATGTAGTTTCCAGGAAAAACATTGCTTTTTATTGCTCCATTAGTAGCACCAGGACACAGAAAGTAAACAGAGCTTTAGGACCTGCTTGAAAAAGTTTTAAGGTAAGGCTCTAATTATACAGAGCTTAAACAGCACTGGTAAGATTTTTAAAATATACAGCTTCCTGTAACAGGTATTTTGAAACATGTGGGCAAATCAAGCCAGTGTTGACAGACACCAAACCTCCAACAAAGGTGTTGTCCCCTTTGCAAGCCCCAAATAAAGGCTAATGTAGCCATTCTTATAGATCACTGCTCATGGTTAAAGAAGTATCAAGGCCAGAAGCAAAGGCAGACAGATGCTGTTCTCCCACAACAACAATTTCCAGCCATCCTGCAAGGACAGTGAGCCCAAGAGAGAAGTGCTACAGCAGCACATGATCCCAAATCTCTGCTCCCCTGCAGGCTCTCCCTTTCCCTCTCACAAGGCAGCTCTTGAATTCAGCAGATACAAAGAAAATTTGGTTTATTTCTGCCTCTTCTAACACACCCGTTTGTGGAGAAAGCTGCAATCAGATGGACTCAAGCCTGCTATGAGATGTCCAGCAAACACCCTCCTGTGAAAATCCCAAATCACTGTGCTGGAAACAGCCAGAGCCCTCTGTGAGAGGCCCAGGACACCCAAGGGAATCACTCAATAACCCAGCTCACATGGCACACCTATTCACTCAACTTCTTGCTCAGCATAAGAAACAGCAAACCTCGTGCAGAAGTAAAGCATTAATCAGTCATTTCTTGAACAGGCTTGAAAAGAACAATCTACTCAATTAAAATGATGCAGCAGCCTGATGATTAATGCTGGTTGGGAAAGGATTCAGTGGAAGCCCTTGGAAGAGTTAGGTTGGTGACTGTAGTACAAACCACAAACTGGTGACAGCCAGAAGTGGAGCCAATTAATGTGTCACTGTTGCCCCATGGGTCATCGACTGGCAAAATAGATTTATTTATGTGCTTGTGAATATGGAAATATAAAACCCAGGGCAAGCCTGAGCTCTTGACTGTTCCCAGATATTACAGTAATGGAGACAAATAAAAATAAAAAAAAATTAAAAATTAAAATAATCACTGCTTTTGAAGTGTTTTCTTGACCTGCACTAGCACCTCTCATTTTAATATTTATTTGTTGACTAAGACGAACAACTGAAGAAAGAACTCTTTCTTAGGGGGAAAAGAAAATTACAAATAAAATAATTTTCTCAGTGGTTCTGGGTAGCTGTTGTTTCACCTCTTAAAAGCAGAGGATTTCTGGGTAAGAGCAGAAGGGTCAGCCTAGAAGAAGGGTGGGAATACTGACATCCCCTGTCTCAAGGGCTGCTGGTGTCAGTGTGGTGGGGGAAGCAGCCGCTGCTGGTTCCGGAGGGGTCACTCAGGCCTACGGGTCACCCAAAATGAGGGGAGGTGTCACCCAGGGCTGCGGGCCCCCCAAAATTGGGAAATTGGGGGGGGAAGCTTTGCCAGCCCCCGCTGCTGCAGCCCCGCTGGCGGCCAACAGGTGGCGTCACTGCATTCATGATAAATGGCAATAATAAAAAAAGGTAAGTTTTGTAAAATACTCCTTTCTTTTTAAGCCAAAAGCCCAAGGACTCGAAGAATTATTTTTTTTTCCCTAGAAGAATTACCTCAGATCTGAAGTGAAACGTCGACCTTTCGTGCACCCCACACAGAAACACACTTCCCCAATTCCATCACCATGGAAGTGCAGTGAGGAAATAAATCTTCCAACAGGCAAAAGTCCAAACACCTGGGGCCAGCAAGGGAGGATTGGAGCCCTCCACTCCCCTTCTGCTGCCTTTTGGGCTGACCTTTAGTCTCCAGTGTTCAGAGGAGCGTGGAGGCTTTTCACGCTCTGTCAGCACACCTAACAAGCAGAGTGTGCAAACTCATTGTTTAGAGAGGCAGTGCTTTGGGTTTTTCCTTTCTGGCAGCAAAAATCACCATGGATCTTTTTTGGCCAGGACTGCAGGGATACAGGAGGCTCAGGCTGCCCATTCAAAGCCTGGCAGGTATGTCCTCAACAGCCTGCAGACAGGAGCTTGCCCTGCTCACACCTCAAGCTGGTGAGACACACCAGTGCAGCCCGGACTGCCACTCCTGCTGATCCATGGATGAGAGGGCCAGTGCCACCCTCAGCATGGTGCCCACATCTACTCAGTTTGCCACTCACACTCTCCCTGCCAAGCATGGCAGCAGGGCCAGGGCTGTGCTGTTCTCACCAGTGGGGAGGGACTCATGCGCTTTCCCAGTCAGAACTGAGCACAGGCATTTGCAGTCGTGGCTCCTGGAGGAATAATATCTCTTTTTGCTAAATAAGCAGTGCAGATAGTCCTTTTTCACCACAGATTCTTTGCAGAAGAATGTCCTGCTCCAGTCTTCTGGCAAGAAGGGCTTAAAGATTTGTAAAAGCTCTTGGTGAGTAAGATAAGCCCCCCAAATACACACAGCCCTGCTGCCTCTTGCTGCTGCTGAGCCACTGCAAAGCAAATTGGATGCTACATCCCCTTGTCCACTCCAAAGAATGATCTGCATGTTTGTACACATTCTGGGTGGGGTGCACAGTCTGGTTTTCCAGAAAAGCAAATCCCAAAAGCACCTGGAGCTGGATGGCTGTGACAGCACAACACTATAGATCCACAAGATGGGATCTGCACGTTCGCACGGAGGACGAGTGAGCAGGACCAGTAAAACGTGTGTGGGTCGTGCTGACAGCCAGTCCCATGCTCCCAGTGCCTTTCCAGTTGGAACAGGGAATGAACACAACTCCAATCTGCAACACAACCACAGCTTCTTAAGGGACACTCTTTACATGGGCCTACACCAAAAAGAAATAGTTAAAAAAAGTAATATTTAAAGAGCAGGTTCTGATGCCAAGGCTTTAGTGGTGATCAGCAGCACTTCCACCATGACCAAGAAGGAACAGAAAGGCCTTGCCTCCAGCCTCAGTGAGAAAGCACAAGAAGAGCTGGCAGCATCCCTCCTGACCCTCTTCTGGAGGTCAGCTGAGTCTTGATGATGCAGCATTCACCTTTGCTGGTGTCACTCCCAGCTGGGTTGTCCCCAGTTCTGCAGAGGCTACAGTTGCAGCAGGGAGCCCTGCTCTGTGCCTGCAGCCAGAGATAACTACTCCCCGTGCCATGGCACTACTCTGCCTGCCTCAGAAACAGCAGAACTCTCCCTTAAATCTCTGTTGTCATTAAAAAAAATGACCACCACCCAGCTTGTTTCTTGTCTCTGATGTGAGTGACCTCCCCTGGACTGGCACAGTCCCTAGAGCTCAGCAGCACAGCACCCCCAGGGTGGTTTGTTTTACAGCACAACAAGAGCTGCTTACACAGGGCAGGGCTCCCGCTCCTGTGCCCATTTGGGTCCCTGCCCAGACTCACAGAAACCACCTGTGTTACAGCGGTAGGAGAGTGGCAGATTTAAGAGCCTCAGAGTGCTGAGCAGATATGGGGAATTATTTCAACTTCATGGTTTCCCAGTGCTATGCACACACTCCTTGAAGAAATCCCTTAAAACTGTCTGCTTCCAAATAACCTATATACATCACTGGCCCCAAAGATGACACATGATGAAACGGCCTTACAAAACAAATCCTTACATTTCAGCCCAGCAGAGCATCCAAGTGCACAGCAAAGCCAAGACAAACAGAGCACTGCTTTTGCCTGAAAACCTACGTGGCTTGAAAATCCCCATTATTGCTCTATCCCAGAAAATGATTCATCCTCCCCACGGGGTTTTGCCTTGCCTCCGCACATTTCGCAAGGCTCCTGGCTTTATAACAGCGTGCTGCACACGGTGACTCCTGGCAGATTCCTCGGCTGGCTTGAGAGTGAGGAGGCAGCAGCTAATCCTCCTAACGATGCTTTTCCTCCTGCAGCATTTCTTCCTGCTGGCCACAGACTTAATGCTCGCCATGACCCTTTCCTGCCTCTTGTATGCCTTCGTGTGCGTTTCCATCGCGTTTCTGACCTGCTGCGTTATCATCTTCTCCTTTGGCACCACGGAGAGGAATATTGATATGAAGGGGAGAGCAATCGTAATTCTTGTGTCCAACAGTTCCATTGGGAGGATGTTTACAAGGAACCTGGATAAAGCAGGTTTTGGGGTGTCTGCTGCACAATGGTCTGCTCAAGAGGAGAGGACAGTGACAGAAGAGTGCTCATCGAACAAGGAGGTAGCCCAACTCCACCTGACTGAAGATGAGTATCAGAAGACAGTGAAAACCTTCATAGAAAGCCATTTATCCCTGAAAGGTAACTTTTAGGGCAAGCTTGTGGATTGTGCCTACTGTAGAGATTAAAATGCACAAGATTGTGAGATCCTAGTTCAGCATATGAGGAAGGCAGGAATGTTTTAGCAAATGGTAATAACACTCAAACTGCATTGCATTTTGTTCTGCAAAACAAAAATTTTGCTTTTTCCAGGGGAAAGAGCCTGCTTTGGTGGCTGTGAAAGGCCCCAGCAGACCCCAGTCCCTGAAGGAAGGCAAGGTAGGCCAAGGAAGGAGGGGGAGAAGGTCCTATCAAGGCACAGAGGGCTGGACTTGCTCTGAGAAGAAACACAGAAATGAACAAAGGGGAGCAAAGCCCAGACAGTGACCTGAGGTGAAGGAATGTGTCTGATTTTTAACCTCTTCCGAATTAAAAAAGGAACCCAACTGAGTTCCCTCTTGACTTCTTGGCTGCTGTGGGATTCATAAGAGTCAGGGCAGGGCTTTGTGTGGCAGGTTGGGACAGTGTCTCTGAACCACGCTGCCCTTGTTTCTGTGGGAATACAGGACCTTTTAAAAGCAGCCTGCAGAGCTCACCTGGGACAGCACGGGGCAAGTGTGTCCTACTGATGGGATGGCTGTAAGCACTGCTTGGGAATCTCAGTCCTTCCTAGGTGAAGGCTGCCAGTGGGAAGACTGGCTTATGCCCTGCTGAGTAACCCCTGGGATCCAGGAATCTGTGTCCCCACAGCCATCATTTTACACCTCTTGGGAGTGATGGAGAATTCAGCCTCAGCCATCAGGGCTGTACCCTCATTGCCCTCAGGGCTACGGGGTTACAAGGGAAGAGGCCAACCCCTCTCCTCCACTGTGAACCTCCCTGAGTGTTCTCTGAGCTGCAAAGCTCTCTATGCTTCCCCACACTTCTGCCTTCCTTCTCCAGCTTCTCTGTCTCTCCTCTCTGTGGTGTCTCCAAGGCTCTCTTTGGGGTTTCCCCAGGGCAGCCTCTCTGCTTGCTTACACCGAGATCTCAGAGAGCATCTCCCCAGAACAAGTAGGACCCTTGGTAGTGCTGCCCAGTACTGAAAGTTGTCTCTGTGCTCCCAGGCCCTGCAGAGGAAGGACATTTGGGAAGTCAGAGCACACACCACGAAGCCTCCCATACTGCAGACACCCTTCGGAGGGGTGGGAGGGAACTCTAGTCAGCACCTGCTGCTGCCTGCAGCTATTCAGGACACAGTTCTGTCACACTGCTCTCCTCCTCAGAAGCACCCAGCAGTGCCTGTGCAACTCTGCATGGCCCAGGATGCATCCCCCAAGTCACTGCCTGCTGCAGGCTCCAGAAATGGCTCCCTGCACACCAGCAGTGGGTTTCAGGCTGAGTGCTCAGCTGCCTGCACGAGCATTTAGGCTCATTTACCCTAGGAAAATTACTCTGGTTAAACCTCGTATGGACAAGGCCTAAAAGCTCCCCAAGCTGAGTATCAGCATAATCCTGCTCTGGAAATGAACAGCAGAGGTTTTCTTAAATAGTAGTGATCTGTGAGACTGTGCTGTTCTAATTAAATGAGATTCTGGAACAGTGATACCTGTCTTTTTTTGCTCTTGACTAGTTTGGTCCCCGTGCTAGTTAAAGGCTTTTGCAGGTGTCATGTTTTATGACAGGGTGATTGGTCGTAGGATCTGTGAAGTTTTACATTTAGGATCTCCTGCATAATATTCACATCATAGATGTGGATGTTGAAATGTATTTCCCAAGTGCTGACCCAATTGCATGGCAGATCAAAGCAGTATGTTGGGAGGGGAAAAAAAAGAAAAATAAAAGAAAAAAATAAAAAGAAAGAAAACCTCACTGTTTTCTTGGGTTTCTTTGTTAACAGTTTTGAGTGAGTGCTGATATTAATTTTGCAAAATTTACTGGGATGTTTTTGGCATGGCTTAGGTGAACATGAACACTCACCACCAACTGACTGATAATGAAAGAATTTAAACCAAATCAAAAGCCTACATTGGTGGGTCCCCACATGCAGTTTGGTCAGCAGGAACGGGACAAAGGCAGGAGAAGAGTTAGTGCTGTAGGGCAGAACTATTACACAATCTTCTCCATTTAAAAACTTCTTTTATGCACTTTGTGTATGCAATTTTTCATTTCTAAAGAAAGGAACCTTTGCTAGTTTTTATGGGGTTTTGTCTTATTTTTTTAAAATTACTTGTTCCCAGAGGACATTTTTACCATTGTATCTTTGTTATTGTAAATAAAAAGATACTTGTTCTATACAATCAAATCTTTTGAAATTCATCCTAAATGTCTTTCAAAGTAACACAGTGAAGACAGAATCCCTCAGTCATGGTTCCTTCTAGAATTAAAATACTTATGACAGCTAAAATATTCTGGTTTTCATTCTAGTACAGGCCCAGCAACCCAAATTTTCAGGAAGGCTTGCACCTTTATTTTGCAGTGACTGTACAAATTAATAAGATGCTATCAGGCCTAAGGAGAATGTAACAAAGGCACAGAGAAATGTAAGTCAGCTCCCTTCCAAATTCTTCCTTTGCTGTGTGATACCATAACTTGGTTCATAAAAAGGCATTGGTTCTTCTGGCTTTTAGCCTTTGGTGCCTTTAGTTTAGATATTCAAGCTTTCTCTGTGACCAAGAGGTCAAAGAGACAGAAGGAAAAAGATGAGAGAAAGAGTTTTATTGCTCACCTCCAGTAGCTGAGCTTGTACTATGAGATATTGCAAGAGCTCTTGGCATCATGTCCAAGTCCTCTGTGATGGAGCTGCCTGAGGAAGTGCTCGCTGTGCTGCTCTTTGGGCAGGCTGCCTGGAAATGCTGGCAATTGCTTCACGATTTTCAGGATTGACTGCGGGGAGGGTGGGGTAGGGCAAGGAGGAAATACTGTAGAGATGGGCAAGACCCAACACACAGCACTGACTCAAAAAGAGTTCAGACAACCAAAATGCTGGTCTGGTTATCTGCTGGAGCCTCTGCTGTCACAGCACCTCGGGGTTCACCTGATCACACACAACAGTCACAGGGCTAAGCAGAAGCAGCACTGACTGTGCCAGAGGATCACACAATTCTTTGGGTTGGGAGGGGCCTTAAAAGCCATCAGGGTCCAACCCCAGTGCCATGGGCAGGGATGCCTTCCACTAGACCTGGTTGCTCCAAGCCTCATCCAGCCTGGCCCTGCACACTTCCAGGGATGAGGCATCCTCTGTAATTCCCCAGGTTCCAACAGGAGAGATGATCCTTGTTGTGAGCAATGTCTCACACTGGACAGTCTTTCTCTCTTTGTTCAGATCTCTGCTATGCTGAAGTTGATTACAAGAGTTGTTGGTTTTCATTGGGTCAGGATTTCATTTCTTGTACCTGAATTTCAGATAAGACCAGACAACTGCTGGATTCTTTGGTACTTATCACCTTCCCTCTGTCCCTGTCTCTCAAATAGGAAGGCTAGTAACTTTCACACAAGCAGAGAAATAACTGATGCAAATTAATAATATTAATTCCTAAATAATGTTAGGGGCCATGTTTGAAACACTCTCACCACCACACTTCCATGGTTTTTCAGACCAGTAGCTAATGAATGTTTCCAAGCCCTCTGCAGGCTCCAAAGGGCCTGGAAAGAGCTACCAATGCAGACAGCTAGGCCAGTGGGAGATACTGGACTGCCATCCTTGGCCATCTGTCCTCATCTCCATGTTGCTGTTGGCAAAGTGGCTCTCATGACCTCTCCCTAAGTTAGTGCAGGTCAGGTCACCTTATCATTTGATCAGTTTAAATAGGAGTGTTAAGTCGTGTTAATCCAGCTCGTTACTTTCTTCTGTGCACTGTGGGACACTGATGCAATCTCTCAGAGCAGAGCTGTGAGGGCAGTCACACCAGCCTGGGTAGGTACAGCTAATCCTGGGCAAGGAGGGGTGTCCACAGCTGCACTGGCTTGCTCATGGCTGTGCTCTGAGATGCTGGCAGAGCCACACACAGCGCCGAGCTGTCGAGGCTTCCAGCAGCCCCGTGGCTCCTTGGATAGTCTCCACCTCTTCCAAAGGTCAGGCTGCTCTTGCAGCTCTGCTGTGCAGCAGGTAGTAGTGGTAGATGCTCTCCTGATACTTCTCCTTGCTTTGCACCTCTCCTTCAGCATTCCCAGACTTTAGTTTGCCATACAGTTTAGTCCAGGAAGGCATTCTTAGGACAGAGATCCAGAAAGGAAGACCCTACAGTGAGCCTGAACAGGAGACAGAGACATTGGAACTGCTGCCTTGTGTGGTGGACACACTGGGGAAACTTTTGCTTCCTAAGGATGCCAGTGTGGTTGATCAGGTTATTTTATTAGGAGGTAACACTTATTCACTTTCCATACTGTGCTTTCCTTAGGATAAAGGAAAGGCCATCCAGTCATTCCTGCACTCAGAGCAGAGAGAAAGTTCAGCTTTCTTTTGGAACAGTCTAGCTCAGTGCGTGGCACAAGCAGCCGTTCCCACAGCTGCAGAGATGGATTGAACAGATGCAATAATCATTGACTGCAATAAACTACAAGGGAGTAGGAATGAATAAAGCAAACAAAATCATATACTCATGCAATTTTAAAGAGTACTGCATTATTTAATTTCACTCAGCTACAGCAACTGCAGGCCACCTTGGACAAATCAGCCCATTTTCCAAGCTGTAAATGACCATGTTTGGACTTATGAGTGAAATGAATAATTTTTGCAGCTATGCTTTTTTGCCTTTAATGGGGGTTATCCAGAAGTTTTTGAAAAACTGGCTTGCAATTATTTTGCTTTCCTATCTCTTGGAGATTTATCAAAATGAGAGAAGCACTTTGATACAGCAGCATCAGGGCTATGAAACAACCCAGAGAGAGAAAATAGATCTCATTCTGAAACTATAGGCTAGGAGGAATTATTTCTTTTAAGATGAAGGGGAGCTCCCCAGTCAAAGCTTCTTTTTAAAAATAGGAATCTATGAGTCAATGTGTCGTTTTCCAAATGAAGCCCTGCATCCAGTACCTCTGGGCATTTTATGGGAGGCCAATTTTCACATCCTTAAAGTGGTTTTGTAATTCTCTTGTTTCGACAGACAACACCTCTGCCAAGCACCGAGCACCCGGGACATCCACATAGAACCTCCTGATTAAAGTGTTAACAATCCAGAAAAGCTGCAGCAACACTTCTCCTCCATCCCCATCCCTCATTCACTGCCAGTGGGCAGAGTCCACTTGGGTTCAAAACCTCCATCCCAAAGCTTTGGTTTTTTTGCTTGTTGGTGGCCAGAGGATCACTGCTTGCAAACCAAGATCTTTAAGTGATAATTAAAAATGCATGTTGGTCTGCCCCGTGTTAAAAACAGGGTTATTTTTTGGATGCATTGCCATGCTCACCACTAATATCAGCCATGAGTACAATATGGAAAGAGGAGGTGAAAGAGCCATGCATTGCCAAGGTCTTTTTTATCTTTCTTCCAAATCTTCTGTTTGCAGACAGGAACAGATGTGGATCGTTTCTCAAAAAGAAACCAAACAAAGCCCAGGCAGTTGGGTACTTATGTTATACTGGCTCCTAAATTCTGCCAGAAGCCATTTTTAGCATCCTAAAACAGTACCCTCTTCACACTGCCCCCGCTTAACTCATGTGAATTTTAGTCCTAAACCATAAGTTTATCTTACAGCAACCCCTAGACAAGAGTTTGATTTCCAAGCTGCATCAATCATTAAACCACACAAGACTGAAGAATATTTTTAGAGATTGCCAAAAAGATATCTATATTTATGATATGTCATTCTTTAAACAAGTGATCAACACCTTTTCATGCAACCGCAGTGGAAGGATTGGAGATGCAAAGCAAAATAAACCCAAAAAGTATCTGGGAAGCTATTTATTTATCACTTATGCATGATGCTTAACTAATCTCTGATTTTGGAAGTAATTGGAAATAACCACAGGTGTAACATAACCTTTACACTGATTTAAAAACTTCCCAGAAAAGAGCTTGGCTTTGCACCAGTTTGGAGATGTCCTTCATTAACCAGAGGTGGGCAGTTTCTGACCAGAAAATATTTTTGAAAAATACCCAAATGATTAAAACCCAAAGAGTTCTACAGATCTGTGTCTTTTCCAAATAATGCAGTTTGTCAAAGTGTGTATGCACCTGGATGTTTTTACTCTACCCCTTACCTCAGTCCTTCAGAAAAGTTTTCTAGAGGTCAGTGTTAACAGGGAAAGGGAATCAAGTGAGAGAAAATATTTCTGCAGCTCTGCTTTTCCATATTGCAGTGTTTGGAGACAGAAACCTGCTGAACAGTTTTAACACATATGCTTAGAGACTTAATTTGAATTATGTGGTAAAACTGAATATGCATAAAAATGGAACACTTCTGTATATGATAATTAAATACTTCCCTGATACAAATAAATTATCTTTGTGATTACACAACGTCTGAGTAGATTATTTATTTTAAATCTACTCTTTTCATATTTCCCATTTAACAGACTGTTTTCCTAACACTTATGCTGCAAACCCCAAGGTAACACAGAAGGATTGTGTGGCATTTTCGGTAGGAAAAGTGAGGCAAGAGCAAACTCTTGTACAGAATTCTCCTTGCAGCAGGGCAGAGGACTTGGCCAGGTCTGTGGTCAGCTCAGCCCCTGCAGCTTTGCTTTGGCACTACACTGTTCCTCTGCTTTCCTGGGGAGGTCCTGAGGGGAAAAGTCTGGCAGGTACAGCCTGTGGCACTAAAGCTCTTAAAAATCCCAACACAGAGCTTGGTAGGCTGACTTAGTAATACTAACTTCAAAAATATGGCCTAAGTTTAGGCCAGGCAGCCATCTGCCACCAGAGGGTTAAAAATCTATTGAATTACAAATGCATGCAGTGAAAAGATTTCAGACCTGATGCTTCATTATCCTTAGTCAAATAATTTGTTCTGACTATGTGGTAAAAAAAAAAAAGCAGTACCTTCCTGCTGTTCCTAGGTGTTTTTTTCCTGGTTTCTAGAACTACATTTATTCTTAAGTATTCACTGCTCTGGTTTGGTCAAATAGCTTGAAATCTATGAGCTGTCTGATAAGAAATTACCCTGTCAGGTAGCATTCATTTCTAACCTGAGTGGGTGTAACTTTTCAAGCCAACAGACTGAGGCACAAATAACAAATGGTTATTTTCAATAATGAATAGTATTCATATTTCCCCCCATAAAAATGTTCCTCACCAGAGGACCATTCCCAGTGGTTAATGCAGACATTTACCCCTGTATGTGTCTATCTGGCACAACACCTGACTGCTTCTCCCATTTGCTTTTCCCTCCAGATCTCAGTGTTGATATTTAAATTCCATTCTGCCTTGTTCTTGATGTAGAAACATAACAAACACCACACAAGTCCGTTTAAACCTTAGAGCAGAGCCAAAATATAGTATCCCAGAAAGTTTTTGATTTCTCTAATCCTGTTCTGGACTTGAACTGCTCTTTTCCTCTAATAGTCCAGGTGCCTGTCCTTCATTACAGCCTTGTTTTCCCCATTCCCATTTTAAGTGGCCATCATTAAATTAACTGAGATGTCACCAATCTAAATAAAAAACTCCTTTCAGGTTGCTTGCCTTTCTCTCCTTCCCTTTGGCCACCTTTGTGGTTTCACATTAAATATACTAAAAATGCATTTTCTCTCTACTGTTGCTACCTAAGACTTGCACAAAATCAGGAAAGCTTTTAGTCCTCATCATAGGTTTGAATTTCCATCCTGTTTTAAACTATGGAGAGCACATTGTCCAATGAATAAACACACTGATGGAAAATTCCCGAGCTTTCCCATAACCATACATACAACATTTACTAATTTACCAGGTATCAAACTGCAAAGGGAGGAATCAGGTCCTTCTTATCCATCCATGCAAGAACAGCAGACTCCAGTGTTATTTATATAAGGTTCAAAAAATAAAAATACAGGCAGAAATCTGAGAATAAGTTATAACTTAAAGAAAAAAAAAAGAAGCAAAGTCCCCAAATGTTTGGATGTCGGAAACAGAGGTGACAGGAGGAATGCTCCTGTCATCCATTTGCTCTCTGCATCCCTCTCTTTAGACCTCTCCAGCAGATTTTTATTCATGCCACCAGCTCCAGGGCACAGATCATGTCAGTCTGCGTCAGTCATGTGGATACTGATGCAAAACAGGTCGATGCATTGACTCTGCAACTCAGCCATGGCAGCAGGTAAAAGGAGACTTGGATTCTTAGCTCTGTTTTCTGAGAAGCAGAGAGGCAAAGTGCTGAGAAGGACAACTCTTGGCCAGAAAAAAAAAAGTCACCTGGAGCTTATCTTGGGCTCTTGCTAGAACATTAGGGAGTTCTTTTCCTTCATGCCTTATTCTGGCTCTCTCACTAAGGCCAGGCAGGGACTTCTTTCCTCAAGCATGAAGTCATTGTCTTCCAACAGCACCCAGCCTTTCCCCTCTCCCAGGGATGCACTGTCTGGAGACAATCTGGAGAAGCCACCAGGCTTTAAAGAAATATGGCTCCTAAGTAGACACTGCATTCTTATGGGTCAGAGCCCCTTGGCACTCTAATTTGAAGTTACACAAGTAAATAGATAAAAATCCCCTCTCAAAGATTATTCACTACAGCACAGACAGAAATGCCCCAGTTCTGATTTTTTTTTCTCTACAGAGTAAAAAACTTTTGTACCTGACTATGCCCCTGTGTGATATTTGGATGTAATAGCTTGGCATTACAAAGGGAACAAGTGCCTTAAAGAGAGCAGGTCTCATTCAGTGATGGTTTCTAATAAGTGTAATTTGATTTTTCCTCGAGCATATTTCTTAGAAAATACTTCCCTTGCTTTGCTTCTAAGAAAAGCAATTTGCTAACATTTGCCTGATCATAAAATTGATTTGACCTTCTGCAAATAATCTGACTTTCCATCGGGTTGCTGAACTTTTTGAAGTGCATTAGGTTGTTCATAGAACACAGCTTTCTCTTGTTCATTCTGGATAACCTCTTCATATAACTGACGGAAACACTTCCAAAGCTTTTGTAAAATAACTTCAAGGAACTGATTAAAAAAAATAAAGATTTGAAATTCCAAGGAATATGTAATAACACATTTTAGTGGACACAGGGAGGAATAACTACCTTTGAACTCTTGTTTCTAATGCTGAGAGTCTTGCACACTATGGCACTTCCCAGCATGGATTGCTATTACAGAGCTCATTACCTTTAGGTTTTTAATTAGAATGAGTTGCAAGTGGCAAGATTTAATCTGTACCTGTTCTGTCTTTGGAGAAACATCACCATGTGATTCAAGAATGAGCTGGGTGGGTTAACTGAGCTCATACCCTGTTGATTTGGCAGGCATGTATGGGAAGATGAGGAAGCCATCGATCCTGATATGGGATGAAGGGGCACCAGACACATGTGGGTTACCTGAGAGAAAAGCCTCCTGTGAGGGGAAGAAGGTTTTCAAGGCTCCACGAAGGAACTGCTTACTGCAGACAGGTACAACTGAACATATTGCATTTCTCTGACAAGGTCTAGATGAGGGGAAAGTGCCTTTATAATGTTGCAGCCAATACAGGGCTTTTTTTCTTAACATTCTTGGCAGAATTTCAAAAGCAAAGCCTTTGTTTGTGGCCACTTCTCACCAGGGTTGGTCATGGACAGCTTAAAATGTGGGTTTAAAGATTTTAGCTAATATTCTGGAAAAATGTTGCTCTCTCAGACTGGACTTTCAAACAAGACTACCTGGGTAGGACAGAGCCAACGTGCAAAATCAGCTCTGCAAAGCTCCCATTGTCCCAGGGACCAGCTGAGCTCCCTCCTCCTGACACAGAAAATAAAACCCCATGGCTCCCATCAGCAAAATGCAATTCAGTAACTGGCAGCACTGGGCCTTTATCAGATGGCAGAAATTCTCCCCTGGTTTGCTCTTCCCATGGAAAATACTGCTGCTTTAGCATCCACTTGGAAGAGCTGCGTTGTCAGGGCTAGTTGTTTGTAAGGAAGACTTCCTGATTAGAAATAACCCTCTAATTAAAGCATGGCTTTATTTATTTATATGTCATGTTCATTTGTAGTTATTTATCCAATTATAAATTACAAGCTATAATATTTAGTTTTAGCTGCATATGAAACCTCCTCTGTGAGACTGCCACCATTGGAAGGTGTTCTCTGGCCTTGTAAGAGTCTCCACAACACAAGAACACAGACAGGTTCTGGCCCCAGGGAAGAGATGACTCTGGCTGTGGTGTCCCAATGCACTTTGTAAAAGACCAATAACAAAAATAAAATTGTAAGAGCAGGCAGCTAAATACTCCTTCACGAAATACCAGGAAAAAGTAGGCACCTCCTCCTTTCCCAAGTGTCAGTATTAGATGTGGAATATGTCCCAGAAAGATGAGGTTAACAATCAAGAAATCTCTCTCCCAACTGCCTGGTTCTCCCCTTTGTCCTTACTCCCCACAAGCCCTGCTCTGGCTCCCAGGCAGCCAGCACTGGGAAGTGCAGCACTGATGGCCACGCTGCTAAACCTCCTGCTGCTGGCTTCTGTGACTCAGCTCATGTTTGAGGAGCACATTTGCACAGTGTGGAGTGAGCTCAGCCTGTGAGCATCCCCTTCTCCACAGCCCTGCTGCTGGTAGGAGTGGGACAGGGAACAATACCTCACTCTGGGAATCTAAAGCCCGCAGAGGCTGTGCTAAAAAAACATTGGTTTTTTTGTTGGTTTTTTTTTACACAATAATGTTGTCTTTTGCCATTGAGTTAGTGGCTGAACCAGTGTCACTTTTCTATTTGCAGCTCTCTGCATCTCTATCCTCTTTCACCCACTGACCTGTGTCCTGAATCTCCTGAAGAGAAGTCCAAAGCTGCTTGTGCCTCTGCTGAAGTCCAAAAACTGACAGGTGAGGCAGCACCCTCACAGCTCAGTTACCTGCCGGCGGTAACCAGCATCTCTTTTACCCCTGCTGGGACAGGGAAGGGGGACCCAGGTGGTGGGGAGAGGGCTGGGAGAACAACCCAGGAGCAGCCTCCTGCAGCACTCTGACACCTCAAGGACGTTGCTTTTCTGCATCAAAGTGGCCCTGAGCAGTCCAGCCCAGGGCACAGCAGTACATTCAATTCAAGAGCAAACACAAGACCAGCCAGCTCAGTCTCCAAGGCAGAGCATTAACTGCTCTCCAGCATCTCACTGGATTTTAAGATACACAATAGTTGCTCTTAAAGGGCAAACCCCAAAATATCCTGTCTCTTGTTCATTGCTGGACCATCTCTCTCCAGCTCCTCTATTCTCACTGCTGCAGGCTCCAAAGGCCCTTGGATTCCATCTACTCCAGCACATGGCTGGAAGAGCAATTGAAATGGTGTTCTCCAACATCCCTGCTTGAAAGGAAGCACCAAGAGCACCCTATGATTCTCTGATCCAGGCTTTAAGACAGGAGAGAAAACAGAAAAAAAAATAAAACAGAAAACAAAGAGGCAGACAGTTAATGAGATGACCTGCCAGTGTCCCCACTGGGCAGTCTAATCTTTTCTTGCTTTAGAGGAGAGGATCCCTGGCTCTCCATCTAACACTACTGCAGGTGTCTGGTTCTCAGCAGCATCTTTATCCTTTCTGAGTGTTGGATCAGGGCCTTAAGCAGGCTGTGGATGCTGCATGGAACACAGATGTGGATACAGCCTGGTAGCCCCTGCCCTGTGTCACCAGTGGTCGCTGCAGCAGCTGGGCTGAGGCAGCACATGCAGCCAAGCAAGAATGAACTCAGGGAAACGAGCAAAGAGCACTGAAGAGCTAAAACTCTCCTGCTGTCTTTCAGGCGGGAAGGAAACCCACGGAGCACTACACATTAGCACTGTCACACCACAACAAAAAAACAGGAGCATAGCTGGGATCAGAAGTGACAAAGCCCTGGCAGCAGGGGATTATGAGCAGTGACTTCAATTGCAAGACAGCAAAAAACTGTGGATGAAAACAGAAAACATCTTCAGAAGCATGACACAGGTCTGCAACTCTCTTGCAAGTCTAATCTGTAAGGAAGAGAACACCAAGACGCTGAAATTTTGGGTTGTTCATTACAATGCTGTACTGTGCACACTGGGATATGCACAGAGGAAAAAAACATCTGAGGTGAAAAAAATAAAGGAAGAACTTTGCTGGGAAGCAAAACGCCAAGGCTTGGTTTTCATTATCTAAAGCCACAACTCAGAACTGCCTGACTGATGATAAGAGATGTCACCCTCCTAGGGAGCTGGATCCAAGGAGGAAAAGGAAAGCTTTCAAAACAGCTTCTGTAAGACATTAAACCAGCTTAGTATCAAATCAGACTGAAAACAAACATTTTAATTCTGTGACATCAAAGCACTGAGAGAGAACATGTTAAAGCAGAAAATTCCTGAATTAAAAGCTTGAGGTTTTAGTCTTTACACATTTGGCAAATAACCAGTTACATGAATAATGCCAAACCCATATATTCTGCAGAACATCCCAGGAAATGTTTCTTTTAGTCAGAACCCTGCTCTGAGCCAGTGTTGTCAACTCCCTCAGTGCAAAATCCCATTCTGTGCACATAACCCTGCACAATTTCAGCTGATAACCATTATTTTCTCCTCCAAAATGTGGCAGGGGCCATGTGTGGGCTGCTGCATGGCTGCTGCTTCTCTCCCAAAGTGACCTTCAAGCAAAGGATGCTGCCTGCTCCTGTACACTGTAGTATTCATGGTCTGAAATTAGAGACACTATGTGAGCAAAGCTCCTGAAAATATCAGTGGAAGTTTTGCTGGCCCGAGGACTTGGGAATGGCCTACATTTGTTTATAAAGCTTTCCAGTCCATTGGGATACAGGGAACTACTGTGTGCAAGCTTAAAGTTATGACCGTGAGGCAATACCACCATGAGATAAATCATAATATAACTGCACTTAAAAGTATGTTTAACACAAATTAGTTATATCAAACTAGAAGTTATAGACTGCTGAAGCTGACTAAGGGATCTGAATGCCCAGATGCTTTTAATTTGAGTGGGAATGAGGGATTTGAATTCCTTAAATAGTGTTGAATGTTTCATCACTAACATATAACACAAAAAAATTAAAGCAACTGGCTTTTCAAGCCTACAAACCTGGCCAAAAGATTCTGGCAATATTTTTAGGCACATCTCTCTAAGCATACAGACATTAAAATTAGAGATTCAGAAAATCCTGAAAGTATTCCAAGTCTTGATTAATATTTTCAGAAAAATATCCAACAATTCCAACATGTTTTTCAATAGATCACTTTGATCCATTTAATAAAAATGTAATTGGGCTATAAAAGTCTGCTAAAAGAAAAATAGCTTTAGCACCAAATCCTATGTCCTGCAACTCAGAACAGAAACAACTGATCACCCAAGACCTGTTCTTTCACCCCAATCTCAACTGCAATACTTCCATTTTTTGAACCTTTTTAAGGAAGTGCAGAATTTGACTTCAAATAGAACAGATTTTCCTGGGCAACACTGTGAAATTATTTCCCAAGAGACCTGAAATGTTAGTGGTGATGGAGAACCAGAGGGAAGCTAGTTACATGAACACATCCTTCTACCACTTTAAATTATGTTAATAACTAATCTACAAGCCAATATTATTCCTTTATAAATATCTGCATACCTGTTGAAAGATACTAAGAGAGCATCCCCTTGGGTTAAATACTCTCCAGCATGGTCACTCCCTTAGCAGCAGTCTATTTTTGGGGACACTTTTCTCCTGCCTTTCCTCTCCTGAGCAGGGGTCAGACACAGAAACAGCTCCACTGAAGTCAAAGCAGGTACTACCCACCTCCACACTGGATATTGGGAGGTGTTTCAGACACCTGAGGTGAGAGATTTCCCTTCATGTGTTTATTGTAATCAGGGAAGAACAAAGAGGGATGAGAAGGCAGGGAAGCAAAATAATGATTAGTGTAATGGGATTTGCTATTCTTGTTAATAGTTTAATCAATATAAACATATACAGAACCCTCTGACGTGCTTGCCATGCTCAAGTGTTTCTATAATTACCTCAATACTCTTAAGCCATGGTTAGTATCACCTGCAGCTCCACTATTCACTTCCACAACAAAAAAATGCAGGACTGGGATTTCCTGTGTCTAAAACTCAGCCATGCACAAGTGACCATGCCATGGTGTGTCCTGGCTGGTGCTGGATACTCCAGACACACGATGTGGATGTGACAGATGTCAGGACAGGTGGGACTTGCAGACCACACACACCTGCACCCTGTGCTTGTCACACAGCTCTTCCTTGGAGGAATAACTTAATAGCAGCCCCTGACTTGTGAGTTCATCAATGAGGACTGAAGAGATGCAAAAGATAGGAAAGCACAGAGCCACAGCAGGATGAAGCAAAACTGGTCCCAGGGTGCGACAGAAGCAGAGACCATGGAGGTCACTGCAGTCAGGCTGGTGGTGCCACACAGGCTTTGCTGAGTTTTGCCCTAGAGCAGCTGAGTTTGCAATCTGTACCATGTCAATTATGGGGTGTTACTGGTGTCATACCACAGGACACAGCACGTGTTCTAAAGAGCCACAGGCTTCCTTACAATCCTTTACGTTGATTTTAGGCAGAGAGAAAGTCTGTGTTAACTTTTGCTTTCATCTCTCTAAATGGATAGTGCCAGAAGCATATATAAACATCTTATTGGTGTATCAGTATAAAGCTCATTTAAAAGGCTTAAAACTGACTTTGAAATAAGCTGAGACAATCTCCAAACTGACAAGTGCAAGGCAGGGGGTTGAAATAATCTCTGCAAATGGCAGATTTCCCTGCTGAACAGCTTTCCCCACTGCCGAGCTTGAAGAGGGGCCACTCCTCCATCCAAATGCCTGTCCCCACAAGCTCATGAGAGGGAAGTTGTGCCATTTATAGCTGCTCATCTGTGAGCAGACCCAGCACTGAAACAGTGACTGCCACAGGCAGCATCTGTCCGAGGAGCCTGGACTCCAGGTCCCAGAGCACAGGAACTCTGAAATGGGAAGTCACAAGATTAGTTTGTTACAATGTGTCTAATTTATTTAGGCATTCCCTAAGGATTAAAAAAAAAAAGCAAAAATTAACTATGGGCAATGCTGTTGTATTAGCTCTGAGAAGCATGAAAAACCACAACTGCAAGGAACAATGTCTTATGGGTAGGTGAGTTATTTTGGCCTTTAAAATATTTTTTTTAATAAAGAACAACTCACAAGTTTCCACTGTGCCACTTGGATGAACTTTGTACTGCAGTGTGTCACGGGTCAGCTGGTGCCCAAGGCAAAGCCTGAAATACCATTCCCCACTGGAGTGCCAAGATCACTGCACAAACACATTCAAACAGATGCAAACACTGATAAGGCAGCGATAGGGAAAAGTCTCAGGCTTCCAAGGAGAAGTGGAATAACAATCCCTTCTTACCTAGGGCCAGCAGAACAAACCTCAAACACCCATCAGAACATCAAATACCCCCTGCTTTGGCTGAATCCTTGCTTCAAAAGAGGTCTCCCACTCCCCTGCCTCCTTTCCAATGGATGTGAGAACCTGTCCCCCTGTATGACAAGGCAGTGAAGCTGATAGGAGCATTACAAAGTATGACCTGGGAAAAGAGAAAGCCAAGGGGTCTGGAGTCCTAATCCAGGTTCCAGGAGCCATTTCTATGCCAGACAGGTTCTGGATAATGCTGCTGACAATCATCCCACAACGCTTGAACTTGAACATTTCTGTCAAAGAAACCTTAACATTTTCAAGAGCTTGGGTTTAGGAAACTGAGATCAAACCCATTAGACATTGGTTGTCCCACCAATTAGTCAGTTCTCCTAATGAGGAGAATTCAGTGAAACTGCTTTCTTGAGAGTTTGTTTATAAAGCAAGTCCAGAAGCCAAGAAAAAAAATCCAGTTACCCTGGTTATTCCCTATTTGTAGTACTACTTCTGGTAGCTTGGAGAACTGTCAGAAACCTGCTTTACATTACTGCTCTCTATCAGCCTCCAAAACCCCCATCACTGAGGGGTTGAGGCAAAGTGGAACAAAATCAACCACCTGTACTTCACACACTAATTATCAAGTAAGTTTCAAGTCAGATATTGTGATTTACTTGTTGCTGCATGCACTCTCCTACCCTGTTCTTATCTGTGCTTACAGATTTAATACTTGTTATTCAAGTAACTTACACATTCAATACTTCCAAAATGGAAAACCTCTGGATAACTAGAGCTGTATTGCTGAGAAGACAAGATTCCCTTTCCACTGAGATGAGATTACTGGCTCTGATTTACTTAAATCAACCTAGTGTAAATCAGCCCTAGTAGGACCATAGGTGTAGAATGGATTTCCAGAGATTATCTAGTCCACTGGGCAGGGTAGGGGAGGACATGCATAGGCCAGGGTCTAACTTGTTTTGGAAGAGTCACAGACCTCTCCCAGGAACTCTGCTCCAGTCCTTCACACTCCCTTAGTATCAGATCAGTTACTAAAGTGCCCTGATTTTCCCTGGAAGCAATTTAGCCCAAAGATTCTTGTCTGAACTGCCAAGGTCAAGAAGACCAAATTATTGCCTTTTTCCTTCCCAACAGCTGACAGTGTTTTGAGGAGAAATACAGTCTTCCCCTCAGCCTCCCTCTCCTGAGGATGAAACCTCCTCCATCTTCCCTAGCTAATCAAGTCTTTTGGACCTTGGATCAGTCATCCTGCTTTTCTTTTCATACTCAACCCAGTCCAGCTCAACTTTGAAGTACTCTAGGCAAAAGCAATACTCCTGCTTGCTGGATTATTGCACTTGCCACAGGGGGAACAGTGCTGCTCATACACTTAATGTGCCTTTTGTGTAACAGCATGTGAGCCATCAAAATGTTTCATCCTTATTGGTAAGTCAACTACACATGTAGCTGCTGGTCCCCAACCTGTCATAACTATAGAATAACCTATATGGAGAGTTCATTGCAATCCATAAATCTGTATCAGCAGAGGGACAATGCACTGTCCCAGCAGCATGGCAAGCTGGTTTTGGTGTGGTTTTTACCACCTCTCCACTTGCAATTCATACTGAATTCTAACCCTGCCCAGTGTGCTCACAGCCTTTCCAAAGTGCTGCCAGCATTTAAACTGCATGCTCTCTCTTGCCTCAGCCATTCTACAGGTGTAAACAAAAGACAAGTGCAAAACAAAACCCCCCTAAAACACATCCCTATCAATTTTCCAAACAGTTTTGCATCCAAATATTTTCAGCCATGTCATCATTATAAGAGCACATGCAAAACAGCTTCAGAACTCAAACTTTTTGCCACATGTAAAAATAAAATATGCTGCCTGTTACTCATCCCCTCAATTTCTTCTAGGTGCTCTCCAATAGTTTGGTTATTTGTTCCAGTGTTTTTCCAGGAACCAAAGCGAAGCTGACAGGTCTATGATTCTAGACCTGCTTGTTAGCACCACTTTTGGACCTACAGCTCAAACCTGTACTACTGGGCTTTGCTCCAACAGACCACTTTAGCACATATTTAATTAATACAGCTGTGGCTGTAGAGGGGTTGAGTAATATGATTATTGCTACACATGTAGCAATGTTTTGGATGTTTTTCTGGTGCCTAAGAATAGATACTATAAAAAATCGAAACAAACAGAACCCAACACACCAAACCCAAGCAAAACAGGGATGTATTTTCACATGCTTATGACTTTAAGAATGGAAATAGCAACAAATACTAAACATTGACTTTTCACTCGTCCTAGGAGATCATTCTCCAATGCCCTATGATCATCTCCACCATGGTGACTTCTTTTACTACTGTGCTGCTTCATTCTCTTGTTTTGTTAGATGTCTCTCAAATCTCCCATAATACCTATTACATTATGCCTCCAGCACATTCTTCAGCCTTATTAGTCCTTCCTTTTAGGAAGATAATGCATTGATTAAATGTCACTCAGTCTGTCATGAACTGCTATTGACACCTCTTGCAGCAGCTTTCTGTGCATTCCAAGGGTGTTTTTATGCTTCTGAATGACAGAGTACTGACAGCTCTGGAGAGCAAGACTGATCTCACCCCCAGGCCAGCTCTGTCCAGACCAGCTCAAAACAACAGCTATTACATATGCTGACTTCAGGATTACCTGTAGCAACATCCCAAAAAGGAAACATTAAAAATGGTCAAAGAACCAGCACACAATGGTGGAGCTCACCCAGACTCCTCTGCTGCTCCCCTTTGTCCCCTCCAAGTTTAGGAAACCTCTCCTGATCCCTACCTAAGGCAATTGCTTAAACACAGCCCTTGATCTGAGGCTGCTGCTTAGCAAATGAACCACTTAGAGCTGTGGAGTGGGCTGGACTCCCCTCACTGGTAATCCCTCAGCTCTGCCAGTCCAGTGGCTAATTGTCATTGGAACAGAGTCACCTGGATCAGCAGGTGCTGAGCCCCAGCCCCTAACTCCCAGCAGCTTTGCCCTGCTGGCTTTTCTCTGGTTCTGTTGCTGCTTGTTCCTCGCTTCCAAGCCCAGCATGGATGTGGTCAGTCAGGTTTTCTTCCACACCTCTTCTATCTAATTTCTTCATTCTCTCAACATGAATCATTTCCCCAGATCAGCAGAGACCTCAAAGCACACTGCTTATTCCAGACTGAATTTATCTTATGCATACAGAATTGGGGAGGAATTCCAGCCACCAGAGCTCTCTTGCAAGCTAATTATTCTTCAAAGAAGTTTTAGGCAGTCCCAAGGAGCATTTAACTACTGATTTTCTACTCTGTATAATTTCCCTGCAAAATGTAATCATTCTCCTCCTGTCTCACACTGTCACTTGTCTCTCGGAACAACCTGGGAACAATAAAATAGTAGGATAGAGGGCACCAAGAAGGGCACCATCAAAAAAATATAACTCTGTACAAGCAGAGTATGTAAAAGCAAATCCAAGAAATATCTATAGACCCTGTTTAATATTCATCAGCCAGTGTAGGGTATAACTGAAACCCAAATGTAACTGTTATGAAAATTCAGACTAGAAGG